TATATAGAAAAACATGAATCAAAAACTAACCATTACTGAAACCAAATATTTAAGAATTTTAGCCAGAAAGCATATTCTCTTGCCAACTAAATTTAAGAAGCCATTGGTAAAGAATTGGAACAAATATTATGCGGAATATCGAAGTATTGAACAATTACTCGAAATTAATCAAGAATATTCTTTACGAACTGGAACCAGCATAAGTGACTATTACTTTATTGCTATTGATTTAGATGACTTATGAGCTAAAGAACGGATAAAGGATAACCGCTATGTCGAAACTAATAAAGGAGTTCACCGGTATTTGCTGATTAAAGAACTTCCAAAATCCTGTTGACTGGTAAATCAAAATGGAGATAAAATTGGTGAAATCCATAGCAAAGGCCGATTTGTGGTCGGAATTGGTTCTATTCATAAAAAAGGAACTCGCTATACTCTCAGAGGAAGAGTTAATCAAAAATGATGCTTAAAGTTTGAAAAACTAACTGAATTGCAACAATTCCTAAAAGAGCGGAAAATCTTCACTACCCCTTGAGGCAAAAAAGGTTCAGAAAACATAAGGGATTTAGAACTTTATGAGAAAAAATATCCAAAACCTAAACCACTTAGTAAAGAAGTTCAGTACTTCCAAAAGAAAGAGAAATTAGAAATCAAGGTAAACCGTCATCCTAAAAAAGACCTCTTGAATATCTGCTATATCTGTCTAGTCTACTTCTCTAAAACACCTGAACTAATCAAATCTCACTTATCCGGAAAAAACCATCAAAAGAATTGAAAAATTTATCAACAAAAACTTTCCACAAAATAGGGCATTAAGAGGAAATAAAGCCCTAAAATATAATTAACTTTCCACCTAATCAAAACTTAATTGGTAAAGAATAGATTAAAATGTGGAATATTTGTAAAGACATGTCAAAAAATTTAACTATTTTACCTACTAACCAATTATTAGTCCAAGTTTGGGACTACATAATTAGCCGACCTAGCAAAAGAGGAGAGCATAAAAAAGAAATTAGTGAAAGTCTATACTTACTCTGCTGAAAGGCTGGTCTAAGAATTACCGAAGCCCTCAACTTTGATTTAAGTTTAGAGCATAGAGAAAACCAGTATAAAAATCTCTATCTTTTAAGAGGAAAAGGCAAAAAGGAAAGATGAGTTTATGTCGGTGAAGAAATTATTAGAGAGTTAAAAAAAAGAAAATGACAACCTAATCAAACTAATCGCTTTACTTTTAGCAAGTTTTTAGAGCAAGTAAAAAAGGAAATGAATTTACCTAATAATGTTGAGTTATCCCCTCATACTCTAAGAAGATGTTTTGCTACTTATCAAGCCATTTCGGGAATGCCTTTGCCTGTATTGCAGAAAGTGTTGGGACATAGTAAAGTTTCGACTACTGCCCTTTATATTCGGGATGGAGATTTAAGCAATTTGGTGAAATTTAGACCGGTGTAAAAATATTATATGACTAAGCAGTTATTAATAATTACTTTAATACTGGTGGCAATTTACCTCTATTATCAACAAAATAATCAGCCCAAATTAGCCAGTAATTCAGCAATCCAAGACTTAAAACAACAAGTCAATCACTACCAAACTCTTTATCAAAAAAGAGTAGCCAAAGACCTAGAAGCC